AGCAAAACACTCACACTTACAACTTAAAGCACAGCAGTGACAGCAAGCAGTAATGAATGCGGAATGAAAACGAAATGTCATCTAAAGACACAGGCCACTTCCCATTGGCTTTGCCAAACACAGCCATTTTTCTTGTTAATGTAGCATGTCGAATTTGTAACGCGACGGCGTGAAAATGAAAGGTTGCATGTCTCACTTGGTTGGCAATATGTATTTGATACCAGCAGTAAATCAATGCCCTGTGCAGAAACACATGTTAATGGAAGCCACTAAATTGGAATAGAATTTGTTTAGGGCGCAAGAGAGAGCAAGAGACAGCAAGAAAAACTAAGCCATCTGTTTTATGTCACTGGAAAATGAGACGATTTAAAAGGAAAAAGAGATGTGTGAGGGGAAGCTAATTTTCCATTTTGAATCACTTAAAAAGCTCTTTAAAAGAACAGGATGGTCCAACTGATTAAAATGGGGGTTTTCAATCTTTACAGAGCCAGTGATTCCAAGCCTGATTCTCAACCAACCAAAAATAAAATGCATAGATGCATATGTATATACAGTGGGTACGGAACAACCTGCCAGAACTGGAGAGGCTCTGCAAGGAGGAATGGCAGAGGATCCTCAAATCCAGGTGTGAAAAACTTGTTGCCTCTTTCCCAAAAAGACTCATGGCTGTATTAGATCAAAAGGGTGCTTCTACTAAATACTGAGCAAAGGGTCTGAATACTTAGGACCATGTGATATTTCAGTTTTTCTTTTTTAATAAATCTGCAAAAATGTCAACAATTCTGTGTTTTTCTGTCAATATGGGGTGCTGTGTGTACATTAATGAGGAAAAACATTTTACTTAATTGATTTTAGCAAATGGCTGCAATATAACAAAGAGTGAAAAATTTAAGGGGGTCTGAATACTTTCCGTACCCACTGTATATATTATTAATTTATTGTTGTACTTTAATTGAATAATTGTTTTGTTTATTCATTAATATGTAATACATTCTGCTTTATGTATGTTCTACAGTATACTTGGGAATGTCAGTGCACAACATTTTTTGTACCCGAAATAATGTAATATTCTGTGAAAGCCCCCTTGACTAAAGGAATGACATCTATTTGGTAAAACAATCCTAATACAGCCCTTTACCTTTTCTCCGTGCTTCTAAAACAGCAGCATAATGACAGTTCCATCTTTTCTGAGAGGGGAAAAATGGGTCCATATTACAAAAAATTACTTTGAAGTCCAAGTGGAAGATAGTGGGGTTCATTATAGAGTATTTTTGTGCCATCTTTTGTTGAAACAGTCCAAATAAAATGTGTACAGTGGCGTATATCTCACCCAAATTTTCTGCACACAAACTTTACCTTTTTGTACCTTGTGCTGATGCTGTTACAGGGGCTAATGGTATGTCTGGTGTGCACCGTCCAAAACAAAGCTGCTCTCCTCACACTGAAATATAAAAGACATCGAACATCAGACTATACATACGCAAATATATGACAAAATGGACTGAATCCTGGAAACATTATTTGTAATTATAGCGGTATACAGCTACAGACATTTTAAATATTTAGTGATCAAATGAGAGATTAATCATGTGTTTTACTTAAATATTATGGATTTTGGAAAATGACCTTTCATGCAGTGTGTAACACAGCTCTAAGTGAATGAAAACATCCTGCAAGGTTTTAAATCTGAAAGTGCACCGTGTATAAAGTCATTAGCTGCATCCAAAAACTTAGGCAGCTGACTTGCTGCCATATGTGGCAATGACTTTGCAGGCAGCGTTTTTGCACGAAGGCACCTCATGAAACTGATTTCGGACAGGCTTCTGAGGCAGCGTAACGGTTTAATGATCTACAACAAAATATAGAGAGCTTTGGTGATAACTAAGTGAATATTTCATTACTGCAATATTAATTTCTCGCTAGAAATGACATCAAAAGTGGAAAACGTTTATCAAAAACGTACATTTACACACAAACTGACCACCGACCGCAACTTCAAGACGCCATCTTTATTTTTTAGCTTAACTGTCACAGAATGGAATGCACAGGATTGTGGGATATCAAAGGCAGCGAAGGATACATCTATGCTGCCTTCAAAAATCGGCCAGATAAAGGTATCTCAGGAGACAGGAACTGAAGCTAACATTCAATTCAGATGTGCCTTGATGCCTTCCTACCTTGGAATGCGTCCTCCGAAGGCAGCATTTTTCAGTTTTCGGAAACTTAGGCAGCTGACTTGCTGCCGTATGAGGCAATGACTTTGCAGGCAGCGTTTTTGCATGAAGGCACCTCATGAAACTGATTTTAAAAAGGCTTCTGAGGCAGCGTAACGTTAACGATTTAATGATCTAAAACAAAATAGAACGAGTTTCTGTGATAACTAAACGAATATTTAATTACTATAATACTGATTTCTCGCTAGAAATAACATCAAAAGTGCTAAACGTTTGTCAGAAATATACATTTACACACAAACTGACCACCAAACGCAACTTTCAGACACCATCTTTATTTTTTAGCTCAACCATCACGGAATGGAACGCACAGGATTGTGGGATATCAAAGGCAGCGGATACTCGATCAGAATATGGTACCTCCGGAGACAGGAAGTGAAGCAGAATTTGGATTTGGACGTGCCTTGATGCCTTCCTGCCTTGGAATGCTGCCTCCGAAGGCAGCATTTTAGAGTTTTCGGATGCAGTCATTGTCTCTCAAATGAAAGAGTCGACTCTGAATCATTGAAACGAGTCGTTTTTAAAACGAATCCCAAGCCGTTTCATGTTGACATCAACATGAAACATTAGCATATTGCCCCGCCCACTTGTTGGTCTTTTCCCGTTGGTCTGAATGAAAATGCAAATTCATTTTTTGCCACTAGGTGCCGCTTTTGGAGCTGTAACATAGCGGTTTCCCCGGTAACACTGTACACAAAGCAGCACTGCGCTCACAAACGCTGCTTTATCAGGCATTACAGGCAAGATGAACTGAAAATGAGACCAATCGGACCAATCACTGCCGATTAGCGTCACGCAAAGGAGAGGTTTGGAAAAATGAATCGTTAAACGAATCGTTTGGGAGTCGTTGAGCAAGTAAGGTAAAAATAAATGCATATTATAAGACAATGAAAGTGTTTTTGACCTTGCATGCATGTCAACCTGTTGTTGGGGACTCCCAAAACCAAAATATGAACCTTTCATAACCAATAATAGGGGCACTTTAATACCTTGAAATATCTGTTTCAAAATCATTATGATGGTAAACCAACTTCTAATGTGGCAAATGGCTTCTGTTTCTTTCCCTTGTTCCCCCAAACGTTTGCTCTGGGAGTATGTTAGTTTGATGTGCGGCTATTGGCGGATTGCTTTATGGCATCAACAACTGCACGTGCACAGCCAGTAATTGGGACAGTGTTGTACTTACGCCAGTAAATTCCACCCACTTAACTGTAGGGGGCTCCAAATCGCAAAAATACACAAAACTTCATTCAGCTGCTTTAACACTGACCAGGAGCTCAATTTTGTTTGTTGGTAATTTTTGGTATTTTGGAGGTGGACAATTCTAAAATCGGATGCAGGTTGACAAATGATATGACAAAATAGTTAGCTGGTTCTCAAGTAGCTAGCTAACTATAGAAAAGTTACTGGGAATCTGAAGATACATTGAAACCAACGGGAAACAAAAGAAACAAAATCCATGTCAGTAGGCAACATCTTTAATGAGAAAGCATGTACACAATGAGGGTCATACTGAACAAATACCAGCAAAGGGACGTTAACGGATGTCGGTACTTCCGTAAAATGAGAACGTAGAGCATTGCAGGCTTTACGGTATTCTTTCTGCTTTTCGATCTGTATATTTGTACAAAATCATGGCGCCTTCAGGTGCTAAAACATATTTATATGAAAATATAGATTTGTGTACATGGACACGAAGCAGTTTTATCAGACGAATATGTTTATATGAAAACATGGAATCATATAGCAGGATACGACATGGTTTATGAGAAAATGCACAGTATGAGCATTTAGGAATAGATTATCTGAAAACACATCAGAATATCAATAAGCAAATGACTATGGAATAAAGATGAGTTCATGTTCTCCATCTTGAGTCATCAGACATTGTGACATGGCATCTAAGGCCTCATGTGGATGGTGAACGAAGAGCGTTATTGTTACAATCCAGTATATTATTCTGGTTGAAGAGGTGTCAGCGATGGCCTTGGCAAACACATGAGCTCAACATCTCTCTCTCACATTCTATTACATGGTTTCTCCATAATTTACAGTCACAACGGACAATAAACTGGATAGTGCTTAAACCAAGAAACTTAATAAGAAAACAGTCATTCTCCTGTACCGAGAGTCAAGGCCAGAACGAAATGAAACTTCATACAGTAAAAGTCAAACCAATCCCATAAGGACAGTTGGAAAACATCCTGTCACTCCACCTCAGACTAAAGGAGGTATGTGTTTATAAAAGAAAAGAGTTCAAAATCGCCTCCCTTTACTTGTGGCTACTGGAATGAAGTTGTGTTTTTGTTGCAAACTGCCGTTGTCCATTAAAACGACTGTCAAAATCTTTAAACATTTCAGTTTCAGTGTATCTTTAAGCATTTCAGTCAAATTAATGCATTCATACGTTGCTTATGACAAATCATAACAATTTCAATAGGAGAGAGCAGGTTTAAATTTAATAAATTCACAATAATAATAATAATAATAATGGACAGTTTTATTAACAGACACGCATAAAGTTAAAAGGTAAAATATTAAAGTTAAAAGTCTGTTCTCGCATTTAATATAACTGATAACAAAATAGCTGACAAAACTTAATATTTTAATAAATTATTAATATTAATTATTTTTTTATAAATTAAAAATGAATACATATTTTTTAGCAACTGAGATGCTACATGGAATAATTGTACTCTAAAAAAATATTTTAAAAAGGTAAAAATGTAATTGGAAAATGGTTAAAAAATTACAAAATTAAATTAAATCTGCTCTACCCTACTTCTAATGTAGCTTTAACTAAAACGGCAAAAATAAATATTTAAAAAAGCAGATTTAACTAAATCAAACACCTTTGAAACAAACAGAAATAATATCAAAGGAAAAGACCGAACCCTGTGTAAATGGGGAATCTGATGTTCTGACAGAACCCATGACATGTCTTAACATATTAAAGCCTATCTTTTTTTGTTCCTTCGGGGGAAATCAGATTTGAACATAAAATATGATACACTCAAACGGCCTCATGACTCTTGTGTGTCGATTGTGAAAATGTAGGCAACAGCCTTTTTGCAGTGTCCACAAGAAATTTTGAATCATTTTATTTACATCCTATCTCATATTACACTTACAAATAAATATTGCATTCTTACAACCTACGTTTGAATTCTACCACTGTTCATCTGTGAGTGTATTTTCACCTGAGCTTTCAAATAGAAGGTTTCCACATCTGTCCTTCCCCACAACTCTTCAGTAATATAAACAACAAGGATTCAAGGAGCCGGGTAAATGCTGGGGTTAGTGAGGCAGAAATAGAAAGTTGCTTTAAAACCTATAGGACATGTAAAAACCATGGGCAGGTGCTCCGGCCATGTAAAAAGGGGGTAAACGATGTACATTTCGCCTCAATAAAAAGAGAAACATTCATACATTTACCGTACTGGAGATTAATAGACCATATCTACTCTTGTATATTTTTCTATCACAGCAATCATATGGTTTTATAACAAACACAACTCAATTTTGTGGGCTTGTATTTCTACACGGTCTATCCAATGTTCATCATCGCATCTGTCAGTTGCTGTAAGGACAGTCAGACCGGCCGGTCTCAGATCGGCTGAGGGCCGCTCTATGCACTTTCTGTATTGTTCTTATTGTGCAAATGAACAACCCCCGATGGGACTCAAAAGAAGTCCTCAGTCCTTTTTTTCCCCCACATTCACTTGATCAAATGAACAGTGCATGAGGAGACTTTTTATTCTCATGTTGCTTTTCATCATCGATGTCTTGTGTTTTTCTCCCAGAGGAGAGATGGAGAGGGAGGACTGTTGTGTTTTGGTGTCTTTCGACTCCTTAAACAGTGTGTGTGTGCAGATACAGCTGGTACAGACTCCAGCCAGGGGGAATCCCACACGTCCTTGCACCCCAGCTCTCTTGGACTTCACACAGGAGGGACAGACAGTACAAAATGAGAGGTAAAAAACAAACACACACCTGGATCTGGGGCAGGCCAGGTGCTTTGAGGGCCTGTTTTGGTCTAGTTACATACGAATCTAAAAAAAAAAAAAAAAACCCTGGGATTATCTAAAAAAATATGACCTGTTATATACGTCCCAATGATTTGAATCGAAATAAATCAAAACACTATGTTACATTAGCGACAACAACGCCCGTTTATCGACTTCCACGGACTGTGATTTTCTGTACAGCTGTCAAGTTTATTTCCTTTCTTGTTTGGGCTTGTTTATTTGGGATGTCGGTAACTGGCGTTCTGTCCCTGTGCTAGCCAATTGGCAGCTGTTCACTCTGCGCCACCTGGACCGCTTGGCGGAGCCAGTACGAACGTGCCAGTCTCTCTTCACCCGTTTCCCCTTTTTGTGAATTTCCTACTTAACTCGAGACTCCCAAAGGATTTTATTCCTTCCTGCTCCCTGCTTGCATCCACTTTCGATTCTTTAATAATTCCTCCCTCCCCATCTCCCTGCATTCCCCCCACAGTGCAAAGGCATTTCTGGTGAGTTTTTGTGTGTCCGCCATCTTGCTTTCCCTTTCTTTCGTTCTCTTCCTGGCTCCTACAGATTGTCTTGCAGTCTCTCCATGTAGCTCCGGAGCTCGGCTGACTGTCCCAGGTCCATGTCCTGACAGACCCACTTGATGTCGTCTTCATTCCCGATAAGGATGGAGTTGGTGTATGGCCCGCCTTCGTCTGGTAGTACGGTGGCAAAGGAAGTAAACTTGACCCTTTTGCGCTTGGCAGCACTGGGAGAGTTGTTAAGGGGCTCGACTTTTCCACTGGGGTCGTTTCCCAAACAGGACCGTGGATCAGAGTGCACATGGGGGATGCCACGTCCGTGTGATGACCCACTTTTCTGAATGCCGCTCCCGTTGAGGAGGTACTTGCTCTCCTCGCATCCTTCGTTGCGATCTATCGCGGTAGTGCACTCATCGTTGTGTGCCAGTGGCCCGTGGTCGCCGTGATGATCCATCAGGTCCGCTTCGTTACCTAGCCACACCCAGTCGTGGGCATGGTTCATGTTGCCCTGCTCCAGTACAGGAAGCTCTTTGTGGCGGTAGCGGAAGGCAAAGCTGACACAGTTGATGAGGAAGACAAGGATAGCAAGGCAGAAGACTCCAAGCAGGGCGTACATGCCAATTTCCAGGTCTGACAGACCTCTCGGAGCCTGAGTCAAGTCGCTGTCCGCCCCACCAGGTAGGTCCACCTGCGCTGGGAAACTGGTATAGTCCACAGGGTTGTTGTTTTGCCCCCCACCCTGCTTGCTGCCCCCAGAACGACTGGTTAGCGGAGTCTTTGCGGTTGTGCTGACCTTCTTTAGGACCGACTCTTCTCGTTCCATTGCGGTGTTTGTGTATTTCCAGCTATCTCCTCCACTTGTTTTATCCGCTTCTAGAAGCTTATGTTTCTGTTCATTTGTGCTGTTGTCCAGACTGTTCTGAGTTCCACTCCTCTGTTCCAGGTCGTTCTGTCCAAACTTCACCTGTACGCTTCCGATCCCCATCGCCAAAATGCTCTTTCTCTTGGATTTCTGGCAGGTTTCTGAGATCATCATCTCCACGCGCAGTAGCGCTCCCTGCCCCTCGCCTTCTGCCACTACCACAGGCCAGCGCTGGAACTGATCCTGATAGGTGGAGACCACACTCTCATCCAGTGAGGTGATGGTTACAGTGAAATCTTTAGGGTCATAGATGTCAAGAGGAGTCACAGAGCCATCGCTGTACTGAATCCATGCACTGATAATGGCTTCCTGTAATATAATAGAGAGATGGTTAAGAATAGATGCGTGACCGCTCGCTTTTCATTGAATGAATCATTCTTTTGAGTCACATTTTTATAACCACTCACTTTGAATGACTTTTTAAAAAATCTGGTTCTTGGCTCAACGATCCAGTCACAGGTTAACGGGGTGAGAAGATAATCAGTGACCAGCAAAGTATATATAGTGCATGAGTCATATGAGCTGCTTTAATGATGACTTTTGCATCCTTTTTTCCATTCACTGTAATTACATAGAAAAGCTTGACCAGTTCCCTCCTGTTAACCTCCGCACAGTCAGTCTGTGAGTCAGTGAGCTTAATTTGAGAACCAAATCTGATTAGTAAAGAAATCATTCAAACTGATTTTTTTTAACTAAAACCAAAGCATTTAAAAGATATGACTCAAAAAATTATTCGCTCCGGAAAGAATGGCGAGTACAATTTTTTTTTACATATTTCTCCTTTTGTGTTATAATTTTGGAATGAAATAAGGCTGAGCAAATGGTGACCACATTTTTATTTTTGGTTTCCCTTTTAACAACAAACCCAAATTAGTTTGAAACATTCAAAATTTTTTATTTTTATAGCTACTGCATATATATACTCAGTGTTTCCCCTGCCATTATATTAGGGGGGCGGCTCACCCCCCAAAGGCACCCCCACCCCCCTTGAGTTGTTCTCACTAATGAGGACATAAATACATGAACAACATCTCCAGAACTGCTCTGAGAGTCACTTCATCAGCATTTGACCGTTTCATTTCAGTAAAACTATCCTCATATCATATAAACACAGGAATGTAAAGTATTCACGGCAACCCGTCAAAATAAAAGTTCGGTTTAACTTGAAGTCATTGCGGCAGAAATATATTACTATTGTTCAGTAGAATGTACGTAATAGGTTACTACTACTACTAAAATTATTAAAACCTTATTTTTGAGGAATAATCATACAATATTTCTTCAATGTTTTAATTATAATATTAAATCCCCTTGATTTTCCTAAAATATATATTTTTAAATTTTCATTAATTAAAAGATAAATTAAATGACTGTTTTATGCCTTAAAAAATTTAAATACACAACACAGAATCTCTGAGGAAAAGATCATTAGGCTATTGTAAGAATAAATGAAACATGTTTTTATGCTTTCAAATAATTAGACATGTTAAAACACAGAATTTGGTAACAATAAAACATAAGGTTGGAAAAAATAAAACATTTCATAGGGCCCTAAACATGTAATTTTTGTTAAACTTTTGATAAATTGATGTTACATTTTTTAAGTTTTATGATTTTAATTAATTAGGCATGTTTTTTGATTAATAAAATTTAATTTAACCATTAAAAAGGAATCCAGAAAAATTCAAATGGAAAAAACAGAATCCCCCCCCCCCCCCTAAAGTTAAGATTTACTTTAAAAAGTCTCAAAAATAAAGGAAGAGGCAAATAAGTTGGCATGCTGCAAAACAATAAACTTTCTCTTCACGTGACTGCAAGGAGAGAGTGAATGCCCAACTAGAAGTCCTGGTGCTGTTTTAGTACAGTACAGCCTCAAATTCATATAACTTTTACTGCTAAAACAAGGAATTCTTCCATTTCAGTCATCATTAACTACAGGGAAGCACAATTCAACAGTATTAAGGGGCTGAAAATAGTTGCTTTAAAGGGATAGTTCACTCAAAAAATACAATTCTGTCATGGTTTGCTCACCCATGTTGTTCTACACCTGTAAAGCATGCTTGCAGAACACTCAAACCTGGTATGCTTTCAATGTATGGGAAAGAAAAGCATGTATATTTTTCAAAATTTCCAGAAGAAAGTTTTACAGTTTGGAAAGACATTTAAAAAGGGAAACGTTGACATAATTTTCATGTTTGAGTGAACTGTCCCTTTAAGACTAAAGTGTCAAGTTTTCAAGAAGCTCACAAAAATATCTGTAGCAGCACTTGCAGACTGTGCAAATTAATTTTAGCTCATCTAAACATGTAGTCGTATATATTTTAAGAAATACTAAATACTATGCTAGGAAAGAGAGGTAATTATAGGTTATGGATTATAATTATATAGGATGTAGAATGTAAGGAGTTAATCACAAATGCTCAAGAGAGTGAAAACGCAAACTGCAGATCAACTACGCTAGTGTCAAAAATAGTGTACAAGAACAGCCTCCAAATATGTGGCCACCTTGATTTTGGCAGCTTCTTCAATTGAGACAAAAAGCGTTTTTCTTAATATCCGTAATTGCCAACAACTCCAAATGAGACTCTTGCAGTGTTTTCCCACCCACTCTCATTCACTCATAGTTAACCTTGGGCCCTGTGCGTGGGAAAACGCTGGCAGAAGCCAGGGAAAGCATTCCGATTTTTAGCAGAGCCGCTATTTTAGATACTTTAATCAGATGATTCCAAACAGCACTGTAGGGAAAAGCAGAATATTAGAGCTACTCACTTCTCAGTTATAATCACGCCTGCCAAAATGAATGCCGGTGCCTCTAGTGAGGGGCCATTGGTTAATAGAGCAAACACAGGCCAGAACATTTTGCAGAATGTGTTTGCATACTGGATTATTTCCGCAGTGGTATCTGTACTGTTGGCAGGGCAGACTGTGGACGGTTGATAGGTGTGCTTCATCAGTAGGTTTTCTTGCAGCCAATGCTTTCAAACTGCAGTGCTCTTTTAAATTAACACACCGGCCTCAACTAGATGCCTAAAAACTTTAGGCAATTGTCATTGACATGGCTGCAATTCTAGTTTGTACTCCCAGCCGCATATTCTAGTCCTGCAGTGTTCCAGTAAGTCTCAGTGAAGTCAAGTTCTTGTACTCGAACACGGAATCTAATTCACACCCTAGTAAAAAGGTCATATATTTAAAATACATTTATTTCATATTAAGTATAGTTCAAATCTATTAACATATTTACTGACATATCGCTCAAGACTTACTGATATACAATGTTTAATTAAACTTTATTGGAAGTTCTTTGACTATTGCACAATGCACATTTCTTAATATTAAGCCTAAAATGTGTTAATGTCACTATTGATGAGGATTGTATGATCTCTGAATAATATCGGCCTTTAACGTGTACCTAAAGTATACTTGCAATAGTTCCACTTTAACTCAATCAAATAAACTTCAGTATATCTTTAATTAGACTTCAGCACTTCTTCCGCACAATTAAAGTGCATTAAGCACAAAATTTGTTGTTCCAATTTAGCAGACTTTAAGTATACCAGTATAGTATACTCAAAGTACAATTGCAGGGTATTTTTATTTAGTACGTAAATGCCGACTTCATTTAAAACTGAGCTGCTCAACAAACAGATGCAGTCAAAGAAACTGGCTATGAATAAATTAGGAATGAATTTGACTCCCAGGGAATGCATATATTGTACTGTACTGATAAAATGTACATCGTGAAAGCAATGTAAGATGCTTTGGAAAAGATGTGTCTACAAGATGTATAAAAGCAAAACTAGCTAGCTAGATATTGTAGATAGATAGATAGATAGATAGATAGAACTGTAGTTAATAACGTAATCTAGGTTACTCATTTTTAGTAATGTATTATGACTACTTTTTAGATTACTTTAAACTTATCATAAATTTACCACATTGATATACTTTACATGAAGAAACATTAATAAACATGAAAATAGCAAATTACATTACATGCCTAAAGACTTTCAGGTTTTACATATTTTTGTCCAGACTTCCTGAATCAACAATTATTAAAGGTGTTTCACAGCCATACATCACCAGTGTTTTAGCAATTATTTGCTCCATACATGGTTAAGTACAATTGCAGGGTATTTTTATTTAGTACGTAAATGTGTAAATGTATTTGTAATATACTTAGCATGAAATAAATGTATTTCAAATACATTTTAGTATATTTATTTTTCACTAGGGCAGTAACATCAAAGTTCTATAATGTTTTGACAAATTCAGGGTAGTCTACATTTTTGGTTCTATTCACCTTATTAAAAAAAAAAAAGTTCAACAAATGATTGGGTGCGGCCATTTGTAACTTGAAAGTGCGCAGGGTTCTGGTGTCAGCCTGAATGTTTTAGAGCTATGCTGTCAATTCACAGTGGAGTCAGATTTTATTTCTGAAATGATCAAGACAATTCACTACAGCCTAAACCTCTAGTTCCAGAACAGTTCCAGCCAATTTACAGTAGCCCCAATGTCTACAGCATCCTCAACATCTAGTTTTAGAATGTTACAGCCTATATGATTTTTTTCCATGATGTATAGTAGTAACTGAAGTATTCTGTTGGCCATTTCTCATGGCTCTCACCTGTTTGGGTGTGTGCAACAGGTCCTGAGCAGTGGTTGTGATGTAGAAGGCTCTGTTGTTGGTGGAACTGGCCTGCAGTGAGAGACTCAAAGAGCCCACCAGCTGAACTCCCAGATCACTGATGGTCACTTTATCATCCACCACTGTGATGGTCTTCTCAGCCAGAATAGAGTCAGAAAAAGGGGATATCACCTGGGAAATACGAAAGCCAATCATCACATTGTTCAGATAAATGCATGTGTCATGCTATCTATCTATCTATCTATGAAATTTACTAATTTTAAACAATTTCTATAAATATTTGAAAACCGTTTCCTGTCCCTGTTTCCATTATATAATATCTCCCATCCTTATAAAAGACGAGGAGATACAAACTGACGCTTTGCAATTGCTTTATTATGACAGACAGGCAGTATGATAGGTGCACAAAGAGCTTTCAGAATCAACATGTCATCGTCGAGCACCATATTCTGTTACCGTGGACACAAACTGTTGAGTGACACCATGAGGATTCCCGAGCTGAGGGGAGGAAAAGAAGGAAAAAAACTAAAATGGCAGGAAATCAAAGGGGTGGCGGAAGCCTAAACGACAGGGAGAGAAACAACATGAATAAAGGACTGGAGAGAATTCCACACAGAGTAAAAACACTCAAAACCACATGCGAGGTCTTATATAACCAGCACAAATTTGGACCAACATGTGAAAAATGATCAAGTGCAAATGGAGACAGACAGACATGAAAAACCACACATGCGGAGGAAATGAACATAAACACACAAGGGCCTCTTAGCCGACGGGTTTCCAACAGAACACTTGACTCTGGGATGAGCATTCAACACCGCTGAGATTTTAACACCTGTAGACAAACAAGCTTGTTATCACTCAGATGCAATAACATCTTCGCAATGAGGGGTGAATATTTCCGGTGTGTTTGACAAGGGAGGTGTTACTATCGCTCAGGCTCTTTCTTTATTTGTCACCGGTCTTTATCTGTGTGCCGACTTCATTTAAAACTGAGCTGCTCAACAAACAGATGCAGTCAAAGAAACTGGCTATGAATAAATTAGGAATGAATTTGACTCCCAGGGAATGCATATATTGTACTGTACTGATAAAATGTACATCGTGAAAGCAATGTAAGATGCTTTGGAAAAGATGTGTCTACAAGATGTATAAAAGCAAAACTAGCTAGCTAGATATTGTAGATAGATAGATAGATAGAACTGTAGTTAATAACGTAATCTAGGTTACTCATTTTTAGTAATGTATTATGACTACTTTTTAGATTACTTTAAACTTACCATAAATTTACCACATTGATATACTTTACATGAAGAAACATTAATAAACATGAAAATAGCAAATTACATTACATGCCTAAAGACTTTCCGGTTTTACATATTTTTGTCCAGACTTCCAGAATCAACAATTATTAAAGGTGTTTCACAGCCATACATCACCAGTGTTTTAGCAATTATTTGCTCCATACATGGTCTAATTGCAAATTTATTTACATGACATTTGTGAATATAGTCAAAGCTAAATGGTATGACACACGGTAGGATTTTTAGAAAGGAAAATTTTAAATAGAAAAAAGAATTAAGGAGAATCAATAAATTATTAATGATTTCCTGATATTGTGTAAATATGTAATCATGTAATCCCTGAAAATTTAACTGTAATCTGATAATGAGCTTTTTAAAAATGTAATATACTCTAATTACAAGAACTTAATTTTTGGAATCTGAATACATACTACCCAGCTCAAGATAGATAGATAGATAAATATTTACCTGTATATTGGTGATGCCCGGGTCTCTTCCCACCAGCACCCTTCCGTCAATTAGTCGGGCAATGCTTGTATCTTCCACTTTCAGGAAGTCCAGGACCATCTCTGTGATGTCAGCTGACCAATCGGAACCCAGCATGTGCACAAGCTCCCCACCAGGGCCAACTGGCTCGGCAACGAAGTGTGTGAGAACACGTACCAGAGCGTACTGATACTGCAAGGCACAGCCTCTGCCCTTCCTCTCATCCTCCTCATCATCCTCACTGTCCCGTGTTGGCCTGGGCAACACAGAACACAGATAAGATAAGAAATCTACATGTTTAGTAGCTGTTGTATGCAGGGGCGCTGCAAGCAATTTCGGGCCCTATGAAAGAATATGAGGTTGGGCCCCCTACTGCACCAAACATACACTATATTGCCCGAAAGTATTGGTACCCCCCCTTCTAATGAACAGGTTTGACTACTTTAGTAATTTCCACGAGTACAAATCTTAAAGGGGTCCTATTATGCTCTTTTACAAAGTCTTGATTTTGTTTTGGGGGTGTACTAGAACAGGCTCTCATACTAGGTTGTTCGAAAAACACACAAAGCCCGCCTTCTGAAATACGAAATGTGCTGTGATTGGTTAGCTGGGCCAGTGTGTGTTGTGACTGGCAGCACTCGGCGCCTGGTAGGGAAATGTCATGCCCCTCACCAGAGCCGCCTGCGAGCGTCAGTGTAAATATTGCGTCAAAATCAAATCAATTTGAGCGTGATTTAAACCCAGATGATTGTAACCACTCTAAATTCGTCTGCCTTGAGAAAGCTAGCGTATCTCCGACATAGTGATAACACTCGTTGTCTTCTCTAGTGCAGCTCAACCAGGTCTCGTCCCATTCGTCGATATTTGTGATATCACAAATCCCGGAAAATATGCGTTGTATTCCAAACGAGTTGTTTATTGTAGTTTTTGAAAAGTGATTTCTGTTAAATAAAAAATCTCCTTTGAATTGGACTTTGAGCTTTGTAACTTTGCAGATCTTTTTTATGCTCAAACAGCAACATTACAGACTAACTAAAGTTGAAAAAGTGAAAAAGCATAATAGGACCCCTTTAATGTTTAAGCATATAATGATATTCTAGGGAATTGTGTGCTTCTAATTTTATAGCAACAGTTTCAACAGGACCCTCTTCTATTGTAACACAACAATGCCTCTGTGTATAAGGCAAGGTTAAAAAAAATACAAAATTGATTCAGTCAGTGTGGAAGAACTTGTCTGCATAAAGCCAAGTCCGAATCTCAGCTGAACATTTTAATTCAGGTGTGACTTTAAATGCAGACCAAAAAGAGTCAAAAACTCATCACCAAACACCAATGACTTATGGACAAAAGTATTGGGACACCCCCTTCTTTAGAACAGAAAAGGGCACTTCCAAAACTGTGGCAACAAAGATGGAAACATAATTCATGGATTAAAAAAATTTTATTTCCAGTTTTGGAAGTGTCTAAAATTAGAACTTGCACAATTGGTGGCTGACTAAATACTTTTTTGCCCCACTGTATGTATAAATCATTGGTGTTTGGTGATGAATTTTTGGCTCAAGGTCTACCTTTAAAGTCACACCAGAGGTGTACAGCTGGGATTAGGACTTGGCTTTATGCAGACCAGTCTTCCACACTGACAATCAATCTTTTTTGTTTTTTTACCTTGCCTTATACACAGAGGCATTGTTGTGTTAGAATAGAAAAGGGTCCTGTTCAAACTATTGGTATAAAATTAGAAGCACGCAATTCCCTAGAGCAGGGCTATTCAATTAGCTTCATTTGAGGGCCGGAACATAATTCATTCAGAACCTGTTCTATGGACATAGACTTTCTGTACCACACTATCCTGCTGATATGAAAATTAGTTTGACTACTTAATCAGTTATATTAATAGAAATGCTTCACTGGGGCAAACAAAAAAAATCCTAAAATAATAAATAGGATTTCCAGCAGTATCCAACATTTGTCAATCATGATCTTACTCAGCTAAATGTGACTATTAGTTTAACAGCGGTATTCCTTGTTTGCTAGCTACCTATGCACATACAGCATACAATGTTAAAAATGTTCTACATTATGAACCTTAACCCAAAAACCTTTAGCTTCATACACTGTAGATAATTGTGACCCTGTCTGTGGAAACCCAGCTAAAGGATTTTTTTAAACAGTGGATGAGTAATTCACTCCTTGATTTGCTTAATAAAAGTCTCCTCTGAGATCGTTTTGACAGACATGTTTATTGTGTATTATTTTCAATGTGTTTATTGCTAAGTTTAGTGTGGCAAAATAGAAGCGCAGCCGTAATTTGCGTGCAGTGTATCTGGTTGCCATGACAACCTCACGCGCTTCCTGCTGCTGCTCTATGTAATCAGAGTATGAATTTGTATATTTTCTATAGCAAAACTAAAATGTGTTTAAAAGTGCGACTGACCAAATCGTCCGGCTCGGTTTGCCCCCCTCGAACTCGAAGACATCTCTAATTTGACAGTTTACCATCTGATCTCACTCAGTGACTCTAGACTACGTAGGACGGGATGAAACCATGCAGTGAATGGGGGGGGAGATATGTTTGCCGGAAATGCAGAAATAAGCTGAAATTTTGTTTTATTTGTAACTCTTTGGTAGATACATTTATAATTTCTATTACATTACTACTACTACTGTTACTACTAATAAAACAGATCTCTGGGGGCCCCAAAAGTGCAAGGGCCCTTAGAATCATCCTAACTTCCCCCCCTTAGCGGCGCCCCGTTTTTGTATGACGATGAAGTGGTGACATTATTTGGGCTGGTGACATTAAGCACAAGGGCAGAACGATTATAAAAAAAAATACTGAAATGCCATTATGCATTATCACAATATTCAATAATACAACACAAATGGGTTGATTTGAGGTTGTTTTCTAAGTTGAAATAATGAGATACAAGTAATGAGATTCTAAGAAAAATAATGAAATAAATGATAATAATGATTCTAAGAATAATGAAATACAAAGTCAAAATAACAATACCATCTTGTGCTTTATGGTTTCCTTAAAGGGACAGTTCAGTCAAAAATGACAATTCTGTCATCATTTACTCACCCTCATGTTGTTCCAAACTCGTATGGCTTTCTTTCTAACATGAAACTGTGAAAATGAAAACTGTTCCATAAAAGTGAACTGGGACAGTAGTTGTCGAGCTCCAAAAATGTGGAGAAAAACAACATAAAAGTACCAGAATAGTAGTCCAAATGGCCTGTACGCTAGACGCCATCTTTGTGTGAGGGAATTTAAATCATTATTTAATGAAAATCTGCTGTCGTTCTCACATCTCATTTTCACTCTTGCATAATAAATCACACTATTTTTATGAAATCTTCTTTGGAGCATTCACTTCAGTAGCACTGTGTGGAAAAGAGCACTGTGAACATCTCCACAGGAGAAAGTCATACAGGTTTGGAACAAAATGAGACTGAGCAAATGCTGACAGAAAGCACATTTTTAGCACATGACTTATTTCTCCAAATGTTGCATTGAGGGCCAAGAAGAAAGCAATTAATAACATATTTGGCAAAGCTAAGCTTGTATATTTCAGTGCAGCTGGCTATCCAATTAGAATCAAGGAAAAGTGTCTGATCTCCAGCAATTATCCAATTTGTTCTTTTCTTTTCTTTTTCCCTTTGCTTTTTTATTTTATTTTATTTTATTTATTTTGTTGTCTGCTTTTTCTGTTTGTTTTTGTTTTGATTTCCTTGCCTTGTCTTTTCTCCCTCATTTTATTTTTCTCTCTGAAACTGTGTTTACTTCAAATTTCCTGTTCACCTAGGGGGAAGCATTGATTGGGGTGTAAGAGAGAGAGAGAGAGAGAGAGAGAGAGTGAGTGTGTGTGTGTATGTGTGTGTGTGTGTGTGTGTGCGAGTGTGGTTCCTGGTGGTAACAGTGGTTTTGTTGTTACAAGCAGAGAGACAGAAATTGGCCAAATTGAAAAATGGGCCCAGCAGAGAGACTGAAGGCCAACAAGCAGAATTAAGCTGTGAAAAAACAGACATATATCCAAACACACACACACACCACTTACACAGTGTATACCATGAAAATGAAAGGGATGGTTATAGATCTCTGTGGCTGAACAAACATTGTGCCCTTCTCCTCATATGCCAGCTCACACACACGTACGCTTTTTGCCATCTCACACACACACACACACACACACACAGGTTTGTTTTTGTGAAAAGTGGGGACTCTCCATAGGTGTAATGGTTTTTATACTGTACAGACCGTATATTCTATTGCCCTACACCAACCCTACCCCTAAACCTACCCCTCACAGGAGACTTTGTGCTATTTCAGATTTTCAATACACTCCATTCTGTGATTTATAAGCGTTTTGAAAAGTGGGGACATGGGGTAATGTCCTGAAAAGTCACCTTCTCCTTGTAATACCTATGTCATACCTTTGTCATTATACAAATTTATGTCCTCATTTGTCACAAAAACGCGCACACACACACGCACACACAAACAAACACACACACACACACACAAACAAACAAACACACACACACCTCTTGTTGGTGATGATGGGTACCCTCCATCCTTTGACTTGGCTGAGTTCGGCATCAGAGACGTCAATCTGGAGCGGTAACCGTGGCACCCAGACAGTGAGCTCTAATTGGCTGGTCAAATAGAGGTAGGTAAAGTTCACTTGAAGAGAGATATGCCCATTCTTCTCTTTCCCGTTCACCAAGACCTCATCACAACCAAAAGACACCTGCAGTGCAAGAAACAGAAAGGTGAAGTGGAGGTGGATCAAACAGTTGTGATTGTTTTGTGGGTTTTGTAATGGCTGTGGCATTTGCTATGATTCTTCCCCTTGTACTAGCCACAATTACACTCATCTGAAGAGAGAGCACTTTTTACACATAATTATGTGAAAACAAGTAAAACAGAGAACTGAGTGTTTCCCTTGTTAGTCTCCCTGTCTTTTGCCTCTTCTTCTTCTTTTTTATTATCTAGACTTTATTTCCCCCCATCTTTTCTCTATATTTTGCCCTCTTTACTCTCTGTCGTGATTAATGGTGGTCTGTATCCGCTGGACGTTTATGACACTTTGATGAGCTGTGTCTGTGTGACGTTGTCATGGTGAACACAGCACCATAATTTTCCTACCGGTAAATCACACACACACACACACACACACACACACACACACACACACACACACACCCACACGCACAACCAGCGTGAAGCAGCCACATCTCAGTGTAGCAGCAGAAATGACTGTCAGGTCTGAGGACCGCAAGGCTAATGGCACAGGAAATGGCAGCTAAAGTGGCATGTGGCCATATCAGAACATCAAAAACATGACATGATAAAAACATTCTGGAAGCCGGGACACAGCATCACACGTCTCCTCTGAGGCTGATAATTGCATAAACAACCAAAGTTTATCCAAATAAGCAGCATATTTGACTATTTCTGCATTGTATTGAAAAAAACCCCACAGAAATACATAGTAGTAGCGAGGCAGAAAAATAATCAAAAAAATTGAAATGGCCTCAGTTATGACACTCTATGAATCATGTTTTCTGTTAGGTTGAATCAATGTACTGTATATCGCAACACTGTAAAATCGAACTACAGATGCTTCAATAGATGGACAATTACCATTCAATATTCAAATAAATGCAAGAAAGAAAACCAATAACAGTACTGCAGTAGATTTATCACTGGTGGTCAAATTTTGTATGCTCAACATTAACAATTAACAAAGATTTTAAGACTTTAAGCTTGGTATATTTACTAGTAATTTTAGTAACGTATATTAACAGCTATTCTTTGACACTGGTCTTTTGTTCATTCTTCTATACCTGGTTTCTCAGTTTTCCTCTCATCCTACAGCTGATGCCGTATTATTTCACGACTTCGGAACGGACCTGTATAAACACTTCCCTTCGTCAAAGCCAAAGAGCTGAGCCATGGATTTGATGACACTGAAAAATCGATTTAATCTCTGTCTCTATTTTAAAGAGAGGGGGAGAGGAGACTGGGCAATGAGAGAGAGAGAGAGATGAAGGCCAGTGTTTCTTTGCGGAGAGGAGCACTATAAAGAGAAAATTATGTCTCAACAAGAAAGGACGAACAACCCAAAAACAACTGGAGGTTTTCTAATACCTCTATAAAATGAATCGTGTTTGCCCCCATTAGGTCCTGATATTTGGAGAGAATTTAGAGAGAAACCCCTTTTGAATGAGAATAACATACACATGGACGACTTTGAGCACCAACAAAACTCCTACACACAAAAAAGATCTATTTTTACACTACAGGGCCATTGAAGCTCAAATCTGATTGGCTGACGAACATTCTAAGGTGTGCAATTATTTTCAGGGAAAGCACGGCTAAAGTAGTTCCAGGCAGGTCTTGACCACATTACATGTCCATATCACTGAACACTGACCAAGCAAATAAATATAGTAAACAATAGAATAAAAATGACTAATTATGTCCATGTTTTTGCCACAAAATTACGTTTTAAAGCAAATTGTTATGTTCATGTTCAGAGTTTGCTTAAAAAGTATTATTTTATATGAACCTCATCAGGTTACAGCAAAAATGGAATAATTATGGAAACACTTATTTTGCAAAAATGCCACTATTAAAGGGAACAATAGCATTGAAACAGTTTTTTTTAAAGAATTCAACTTTAAAATAATAATTGGAGCATCTTTTTTATAACTGTTCTTCATATATGTGTATTTATGACTTTGCTCATTGTGTTGATCTCGGCTGCCCCTCTAGTTTCACTTTTCTACCAGCAGAATGTTGCTTTTCAGTTTTTTGTTCTTTTCTCTACTTTAATTCATTCCACTCTTTCTGTTCTGTGTCTTCCTCCACTCTCTGCTCATCTCTGGAGTGATAAATCACAGATTATTTGGCTGACAATGCAAAACAGCGCCAGGTGCCGCAATCCACCAATCCCATCATCCGCCCAGCTCGCAAATTACTCGGAAGAATTGGCACTTGCTTCTCTGCCGCGGTGAGGAGAAGAGAGAGACGGAGATTGGTAGGGGGCAAAGAGGAGGCAAGAGAGGGAGAGAGGAAGAGAAAGAACAGAAAGAAAGGGGAAGACAAAGATGGTGGGCATCAGCTGGAAGGGGTGGAATCAATTTCCTAGACAGGCAAGAGCATCTCTGGTTCACTGCTTGCAGAGGAATGGTCAGGTACAAAGAGAGGTTTTTAAAACAGATAGATGATCCCACACAGGGATCATCTTCACTTTTACTGCTTTTACAGCATGATGTTGGAGAATGCACACGTGCATCTAAACTTCCTTATGCTCTGATGAACCTGCTACTACATCATGAGCGTAGATTTAGATTGGGAACAAAGTTAAGATACTGGACAATTTCAAACAACATGATCTGAATGGAATGTATTACAAGCACGTGTCATTTCCATTTGTAAAATTAAAGTATTTTTATTTCCTTTTATAAATTCAATTAATAGGATGCATAACACTGATGCATAACACTGATCAAAAGTAAAAGTATAGACATTTTAAAGACATTTAGATTGTTACAAAAGATCTGTTTCAAATAAATGCAATTCTTTTGAACTTTCTATCAAAGAATTGTAAAAAAAAAAAAAAAACTCTACGGATCCACAAAAATATTAATATTAAAATATTAAGCAGCAATGTTTTTAACATTTATATTAGTAAGAAATGTATCGTAAGAATCAAATCAGCACATTAGAATCAGGAGTAATGATGCCGAAAATTAAGCTTTGCAATCAAAGAAATACATTACATTTTAAAATATATTAAAATGGAAAATTGTAGCAGTATTTCACAATATTCTTCACAATTGTATTCTACTTTGATCAAATAAATGCCTTGCTGAAATAAGAGGCTTCTTTAAAAAAACAAAAAACAACAAAAAAATGCTATATGTCAAGAAAAACTTTTAATCCATAAATACTGCAGAATTTTTTAACATCTGCGTGCCTGTACATTGGTATAGTCTGACTGATTTTGAAACGTCCTTACCAATAAACCAAACCCACGCCCACGAACTAGATTAATGCCGAGAACCGCTTGGTCTCTGAACTAGTTTGTAGTTTGCACACACATGAACACTGATATAAAGTTACAGTTACCCGCTCATCCGAGCTTGCCTTTCTTCCAAAGAGTTTACACTGTAATTGAATTTGAATTTAGAGCATTTCCACTGCAGAGGGTGATAAATTCAGATTCCAGGTTCTAAATGTGACACTGCCTGTGGTTAGAGACTCCCATAGTGCCTCGTGTGGGAATCTGGCCCTGTTAAACGTACATGATGAGTTTAAAACGTCATCTGTCAATCTTCCCCTTTAGGTGATTTCTCAAAATGCACATCTTCTGATATTAGTCCCACATAGTATAAACCTTTCTCTCTCTCCTTATGTTCACTCTCAAAGTAGTTAGCTTAGCATAATTTGATTTTTTTGTGATTGATCATAGCGCTCATCGTTGCATCGCCTTGCATTCATGACATGGGACTTAAAAGCTCTGCAAATGATCACAGCATCACAGAGGAACACAGAGACGAAGAAAGATTAATAGGTAGAGTGAGAGAGAGGCGACGCAGAGTTCAAAAGTGTGATGCTAACCTTACGTCTTACATCTTTAATCAATCAGAGAGTTTTCCATCTGAATGCAAGATTCTTGTTGATGTAGTTTCAGCTTATTCCAAACACACTTAAATGCTTATTCACCATGAAAATTATTTTTACCAGAGCATGCAATCAGCAGTCATTAGTGAGTCACAAACTCTTCAGTTCATGGGGTCATCAGATCTGCACTCATTTTTTCACTAACTCGGATACTTATAAACAGACGTTCACTCAAGCTAGATATTACAAAAAATGTCATTATTCACTCACGCTCATTTCAAACCTGCACGTTTTTTTTTATTCTGTTGAAATCAAACAAGCATGTTTCCATGCAACAAAGGTGAACAGAAAGTGGGGCTGTCAAGCTCTAAAAATTTGAAAATGACACAATAAAAATAAACTACAGTTTGCCATGTGTACCATATTCTGAAACCACATGAAAACTTTGTGAGCAAATAGGTAAATGTATTACAATACTTCTTTACAATATCAAATACCAATATACTGTATATACATAATGTGTGTTATCTTTTACATTTTTTGATTTTTTCCATTTTATTTTGATGTATCCATAAAACAAACAAATAAATAAAAAATGTACGCTGTTTTATAAATTGATTGTTATATAATTGTTTTGCTATTCAAATTCACATTCCATTGTGACAATTTACCCCATATGTGTCAATGTGTGTTCAACGAAAACAGTAAATTTAAACTTTTTTTTTTTTTTGGTAGCAAAGACTTTAAGGTGTGTTTTATGGGGAAAATATACACTATTAAGTATTCACTGATCTAAAATAGCGTGACAACTAGCCCAAGTCTTCCATATTTTGTTGAATGGTAAGCATCTGTTTCTTCTCAAAGGAACATTTAGTAAAAAGCTCAACTGCAAAAAAAAAGGAACTTTGTGAGGATAATGCTGAAAATGTACTGAAAGTTATTTTGATAAAAATCTTCCTCTCCACCATATAATTTCATTCATGCGTGTGAACATTCAAACCTGCCACCAGAAAACATAAAAAAAGCATAAATGTATGAAACAACATGAGGGTGAGAGTAAATAATGACAAAATGTCCAAAGTCTTAAGTCAGCAAGAAGACTGGCACACAAAAATC